AGGCTCTGGTACCAATTCCAGTGTGGAGAGTGGGGGGGTTGTCCCCATGCCAACAAGCAATTTTCAGGACACCAACTGTGTGTGCTACAATTCAACTCAACTCTGACGCAGTCTACCCAGAAATAGAATCAGATTTTACAGGTTAAGGATTCAGTCCTACAAGACTAACCCCTGTATTGCCTGACTTTAGACATGTCAGTTACAAGCCAAGGTTGACAACTGTACTTCTGACAGACTGGCTATAAATCAGAGGTTCCCAAGACGCCCTCCGTAAATTTAATTTGCTAGAACAGCTCACAGAACCTAGAGAAACATTTTACTTACCAGAGTACTGTTCCAAAGTTCTCTGAGTATCAAGTTATTGATTGTGGCTTACAGTAACCTATCACATTTCTCTATAGAGTGCAAACATCTGTTGAGCCAAGTGATGTCAGAATGTTAAGATACTTAGGCTTCTTTATTATGGGAAGGATAGTTTAAAAAGTATGAGAAAGTAGTTTGAAGTTATAGCATCGTATTTATAACATAGAAATAAAAGAAAGTTATTCATTTGCTTGTTATAAGTCACTTAGGTTAGCTTATGCTGTGCATGGTTCTTGCACTTAAGAAATGGAAGTTATTTGCAAATGCAAATACTGTACTTCTGAGGACTATGAATGGAACATTCATTATTCTACTATTTTATTTCCAGGCTAGAAAGTTGGGAATTGGGATCAAATTTTCTCTCTTTGATATTTCCTCTCAATTCAAGATCTTTGATACCTTTCACATCCACCCATCTCTTTAGTTTCATTGCCACTACCAGAGTCCAACCACTTGGATAATTATAAGAGCCCTTGCCCTCCCCACTTCTCTATACATCTTTCTGTCTGTACCTCTCTTTCATTCTGTCTCTCTCTTGCTCCCCCTAGTCCGGTTCTCCAGGGCACCATTAGGCTACTGCTAGCATATCCTTCCTGAAGTGAATCACCGACTTTAGGCCTTCAGTGTTCCCTCCTCACTGAGGANCTGAATTTTCATTTTGCACTGGGCCCTGCCAGGTATGTGCTGGTCGTGCGTACACTGTTCTACAAACTGCCTGTTTACAAAGCGGTACGTTTTTGTGCCCAAGAAGAATGCCAAGATGCTTAAGAAATAGCTCTCGTCATGAAAAGTTTATAGCCCAGAAATAGAAATAAGAGTATAATAAAGCAAAGTAGAAGATGAGACACATGGGAGAGACGAAGCTCCAAAGGAGAGAGAAGTTATTTCTTGGTGGAATGAGGTCATTATCAGTGGAAGAGACAGCCTTTCGTTGGATCTAAAATAAGAGACTTGAACACTGACAATGGAGAGAAAAGGAAAGAGAGGCAGTGTGATACATAAATGCACAGAGGCTGCCTGAGCACACTGAATGGATTGGTTTGCCCGGGGCAAGAAGAAACCAGGCTGAAAAGCATGCTGACACTGGCTGTGGGAGGGCCCTGAATATTCCAGCTAATGAGGCTCTACATAATTCAACGGGGCCTGTGAGCCATGGAAGGGTTAGAGAGAGAGAACCAGTTGGTCACAGTCATAATTTAGGAAGATTAAAGCTGGCCCCAAGCAATGATCGTCATTGTGTCACCTCTCTGATTCCCAGCCCAGTACTACACTCACACATGATGTGGACTTGATGTTTTACACAGCAGCCAGATGGAAAGTGACATCAAAGTCACCCGCTACCTCTTTTTCGTTCAACCTATTATACCTGTTGCTCTAACTCGACCAACAAGAAATATTCATACACTCCAAAGAACCAACTTTTATTGTTTAAGGTTTGAATTTTCAGAATGACATAAATTTACGCATCTCAGAGATTAATACAAAAATAAAACAATACCCAGGGTCAATTAAACAAAAGAAAACTCAGACATCTCCAATCTCCATTTTCTGAAATAGTGCCTCTAAAGAAAAGCTTTTGTTGGAGTTATACAAGACAGCATTGATACTCTTTCCATTTTCTTGCGAAAACAAACGTATGGAAGCAAAACAAACATCATAAGTTCCCAACACTTAGGTACGTGAGACACATAATGGGCTCTGTACTACAAGTAAGCATTTCTTTGATTACCAGTTGTGATCTTTCTCTATTAGGACTGCATCAGGAAAAATCAATAACTTGCACTGAAATAAAGGTTTATCAATTAATATTAATATCTGTCTCTTTCTATCTCCATACATACATACACACACACACACACACACACACACAAATATGGCACCTGAAAAATTTCATTTCCTTTCAAGCTATACTAAACTCCAAACAGAAATTCACTACATTTCCACCTGTACTAAATGTTTCCTCCAATCACATTGAGAAAAAACCCCAACGCCCTCTTGATAGAGTAATATTTCAATATATTATTAATTGACATTGAATTACAATTTTATTGTCCCGTCAGCAGGATTATAAAGAATAAACTTTAGTGAAAATGAAAATATATAAACAATGAATCAAAAATGAATTAAGTTAACCACAGGAATACTGAGGTAAGGAATATTAAAATTACATCTTAAGAAAATGCAATAGATATCTCTTAAGATGTATCACTGAAGGAAAGCATGAACTTGATTTTTTAGCTCCATTTTTAAAATCATTTCTTCACCAAAAATAAAAATGAAAAGCTCCTTTACTATTCTAGCTATCAAAAATGAAATCCTAACTGGTGGTACACTCCCCATTAGCTCACAAAATCTGTGCATCACTATTTAAAGATAGTTCTGTTTTTAAAAAAAGAAAAAGAAAAAAGATACAAAATTACTACTGTTTGATAAAAAAATCAGAGTTGTCAATATTCTTTTCAATAAAATAACATGTTTTCTTCAAAATAAAATAAGCTTGGAGACAAAGAAATGCATTCCAGTGAATCTCAGTGTATCCCTAAGAAATGAAAAGCTGTTTTTTTATACCAATTCCCATGCTATATTGAGTTATTACAATAATATATAATATGAGGAAAAGAAAAGCTTTTGATATTTCAGAACTGCAACATGAAATGAATTTAATTTGGGAAATTAAACTCAGGATTAAAGGATGATAAGCTTCTTCTTGGAACTTTTCCATCTTAGTCATCTGACCTTTAATATGGAAACTCACACAAGAGATGATTCAGTCTTACAGTGCGGGTTGCTTTAGAAGAGGTATCATAAATATATTAACTGGTACATAGTTAGAGATGGACTCGATACCCCTTGTTCTGTTCAAACAAATTCTCATGTGTTTCTCTGAGCTGCACTCCTCTCTGAAAGAATGTTGAATAAAACTCTGAAGTTCTGACTTAACCACATATCACATGATGGCACCAGAAACATGAAGAAGCCAATCCAAAGTCTTGCACTTCCACAAATTCATAGGCTATTAAGACCAAGATAAAGGCAAAAAGGCTGCCCCATGCTGCACTTCAGAGAAGAGGGTTGTAAAGACCATAAACGCTCTCAGAAAAAAGTCAAGAAAGTATCCTACCTTTTTAAAAATTCCATATACTCGGTATGCTTGATGAGTCCTGTCCTCATCATTATAGTTTGGAAACATTGTCGATCAATAGCCCAGAGCTTCACGTTGACAAGAGCTGGAGAAAAAAGAAACAAACAGCAAACAATTACTTACAAAAGTTTAACTGGGAACTATATACTGCAAAAGACATGAGTTATTCATGAGCGGTATGAAAATGGCTAACCTTCATTTAAAGCTAGTATCATAACGTTGTCCTATTTTGTTAAGAAGTCAAATAGTCTTAAGGGCAAAATTTACTTCATAATTTTCCATACAAGTATTAATATCAAATAGGAAGTTTCCTGTTGTTTTTATGTCTTTAAGGGAAGAGAACGCCTAAGTACACACTGAAAGTATTTAGTAGTTTCATGACTATATAGAAAGCAAATTGCATCAAAAGGGAGGTTTACAGGTAATAACACTCCTTGTGTAATCACCCAAAATGCTGCTAATGACTCATATGACCACATTTTAATTGTGAAAAGTAGAAGTAAAATTCAATTTTCAGGTTTACGGGTAAATTTAGTACAATAGAAATTATAATTACACAATTTCTATACAAAGTTCATTTTACAAATTGCAACCTGTACCCACAGTCACCATATTAGATATGGTTGTTGAATTTTAATTTCTACTCTTACATGGATAGAACTGTCTTTGACAATGAGTAATTAAATGTTGAAACTGAACGTCACCAATTTCACCATTTGATCTATTAAGCACATGACTAAGAGGCAAGTTTTAGAAAAAGACAGTTGTTATAGTGTAACAGAACAATATATCAAGATACACTTAGGTTTTAAAAGAAGAGCAGGAAACAAATTTATATAGAGAGAGTATATATATAGAGTACACTAAAAATCTTGGTAATTAAATCTGTGTGATGGGTATGCAAGAAGCTTATTTTACTATTCTCTCTCTTATGTATGTTTGCAAATTTTCATAACAGAAAATGTTTCAAGTTAGCACATGAACTAAAGGAAGCCAATTCATGTATCATACCNAATTAGTTTCTAGTGTTCAGGGATTCCTGGAGAAGACCTACCCTTCTGTCTAAAGAGGGCCAAACCACATGACTGGTAGTTTTAAAATTGAAAAACACTTCCAAGTTCTTTAACAGTTGGAGAATCAGCTGGGAACCAGTCACCAAGGGCCTTCAAAATCTCCAAACTTTAAATTCTATTTACAGAGCATACAATGAGAAACTTTGTGGCTAATACTATCAATGCCTTTTTCAACTCAGGAAAGGGAAATCAGAAATTTAAAATTGTTATGAGAGACATCTGATTCTTTTTTTCTGCCACAGCAGGCATACTTGGCATGCGACACCATACATCACCCTTGGAAATACGGTACATCCATTCAAAGGGAGAGGAGTCTCCTGGGATGAGCTGCACCAGGAGGGAACATGGAGGTATAAGGAAAGGTCACCATGTGACTAGACTCTAGAGCAATGAGAGAATGAGAAAGGAAAAGGAGGAGGGGGAGGAGAAGGAGAGAGAGAGGAATCTGGAGAGATCAGCAGAAGCCGGGAGACGATGGGCTTTGAAGACAATGCTCTAGACCTAGGCTTTATTCTTAGGAGTAATGAGAAGTCATGGGAAGGTTTTATGCAGGAAGATGACATGAGAAGATCTGCATTACCAAAAGATTCTTTAGTAAAGAAAAGGTTTCCTGAGGTTCAGTAGGATTGAGCCAGTAGCTTAACCTCCAAAGAGTCCCAACTTGTCAGTGAGGCAAGTAATATAAACAGAGGCTCATCATCATTACCATTGTTATCATCACCATAGTCTGGGCTACAAGAACACCCCAGTGGTCACACAGCTGCATTCTCATTGTGGGTATGGATACCCGTGCCAACAGCAGCCCAGAGAATATGCTCAGAAAAAAAAGCAACACAAATTAACTCTGGCAGTTATTTGGCTCAGTTTTCAGACTCCATTTTAAAAACAAAAGCATTTTTCTGTAGCCGAAGAAGATGGAAAGGGCTGGCGACTGGCAAAATCACTACTGAACCTGTAGCAATCCAGCCTCAGTAGCAATGACCCTTGCATTTTTTTTTGCTATTGCATAGGAACATCTATGTTTACATTAAGGGATGTGAAATACAGGCACAAAAAGAAAAATGACTAAATAGGATTAAAGAACCAGAATCAGAGTTTGATGTGGCATTTGCTAACGAAGCGGGGGCCAGACCACGTGACTGGGAGTGAAAAAATGGGTAAACACACTGAAACGAAAATCAAAACTAACACTGACAATCAAGAAAAAATCCTTGCGTTTTGGCAGTGCATTTATATGCCTGCTGTGTTCCTTTTCCCGGCCCTCAAAACTTACTGCTTCTTTAGAAAAATAAAGAGCAAACGTAGGATGCAGAGTTGAGCAGTGATATGGGATCATTCCTCTTTTAGCAGGTAACTTCCGCTGAACTCCCTCAATTAGGAAGGTGTTCTAGTGCACCACAGAAACCCTATTGCAAAGAAGTCTGCTGATTTGTAATATCGTTCATTCATAGAGTTTTTATTCTTCTGATAGTGCCACAATTGCTTCAATTCTTTAACAAAATATAAAGTATATGATAGCTTTAGTACAAAAATTCAGATGCAAGTTTTATTTAGCAAGCACATTAGAGAACCCTACCCACTCACACACAGATTACTACAGAGAACTTCAAAGTATTAAGTATATATTTTTATAATGTGAAGGTAAATGAGCTTTTCTAAACATGAAACCATAAAGGAAAAAAATGGATTGACCTGAATATATAAAACTTTAAAAATTTTACATGAAGTCAAATTGTGGTAAATAAATTTTTTTTTTAATCAATAACAAATAGGGAAGTAAAAATAATTCTGAAGTTATGGGGCAACATTTA